GGGTAGGGTGGGGTGGGGTGGGGGGCTATGTTTTTTTACCTTAGAGAATCACCTCGTGCGACATAAATAATACTTCGCAACTCCCTTTAAGGTAGGAATTGATCATATTATTCAGCGGACACAAACTATCATATCCTGTTATCCAATTACTATGTCGAAGTTGTTACTTAAAGGCGTTCTAATTCAATTCTAAATCGTATCCTGTGCGTGCACTACCTGTCCTATACATATGGTACATGAGGCTTTGGACCTACTACTTTGGTAGTTCTAGACTCTCCTTAGGCTGCTCAAAAAAAATGAGAAAACTAGGCGTGCATTCAAAACAAATAAGACTACATATAATAAACACCAAAGGCTAAAATTCACCTCCTCATATAAACTGGAATGCACGCTGTCAATTAGGCAGACAACACTAGCGATGCTCAGATTATTTAAACGGACAACTATAGATAAGCAGGTTTGGTATGTTAAATTGTTCCAGACCTATAGGCATAGTTTCTATGTGATTTGAACTACTCAACAATCAGTGTAAATTCCTATAGACAGGATGACTGATTTCAGGTGTCGCATAGGCAGTGCATCTGTTCCAAGTTAACTAGTTTGCAGGTTACATGAATTACAAACCTATAGACATGATTTCAAAGTTGTTTACGTAATGGAAAGTGAAGGCTATTAGAAACTGGGAATTACCAGCGTTTGATTCTATGGGTATGCCTTCTAGGCGAATAACAGTAATCGAGATTTCTAATAATTGGTATTTGAACTCACTTTTATCATACTTATTCCTATATGCATGCTATCTAGGTAGAAGTGTAATAAAACGGGGGGAGCAGTTGATTGAGAAATTAATGTGCTATAATCATGATACCTAGATGGACAGTACACCAAAAATAAAAGCAATTTGATCAATTAACTATATGAAGTCCTATAGGCATGATAGCTAGGTTAGCAAAAGCATATACATCATATAGGCATGATGTCTAAACATACAGTAATAACAAGTATGGCAATTAATAGCATGTTTAAGATAATGTATAGTATTAGACAAAATCAGGTGAGATGTGTGCAATTCCTAGAAACTTGATTTCTATTAGTGTACGAAATAACAAATAAGATATGTTGAACAAAATAGCAAATAGAACACATATACCCTATAGGCATGTTTTCTACCCTTTATGCAAGAAAAAAGCACATCCATTCCCCAAGTTCACTATACCCACAATTATTCATTATT